TTATTCATGTAAGTACCCTGTTTATAGGAGTTTTGTTATTCATGTGAACTATGACATTCAGGTTGTATTGTTATTTTTTAGTGATGAAGAATATGAAACCTCCAGAGAATATGATAGTGGAAGTTTGAGTAGCCAGTCCTTGAAGGGAAAACCATTGAAAACATCAACCCAAAAACTATTTGAAACTGTGGATAAGTTACTGGAAGGCTCTGATCAAGAAAAGGAAAATGCTTACAACCTTCTAGCAGCAAAGAAAGACATTTTAACAGTATGTCATTGATAGTTTAATATTTGGGCATGCAATTGAACAACATTTAACACTTGAAACAAGCTAGCATTTAATTTTCTTTTTAATCAGTGATCAGATCAAATTTTACTAAAGCAACATGAATACTAGTAAAGTATTTTCTTATTTATTTATTATTTATTATTTTTTAAAATTTTTTCCATTACTTCAAATTTTCTGGTCTACTTGGCTGACCTAGAGTTGCATGAACACACTTACAAAGTTTTCTTTTAGCTCTTTACAAGAGAAGACAGACAAAATGTAATATTGATTAGGCATTTGATAAATATATCGAGAAAGAAAAAAAACAGGGATTGAACAAAAAAGAATCTTGGCATGAATTGGATAACATAAAGATGTGGTATTGTGAATGTAGGGCAGTAATCTGGATAGGATTAATTCCTGGGGTAGATTAGACTTATTCCTTGTAATGCTTGTTAAGCCAGGATTATTATTAATGTGGTTTGTGGCTTCTACAACCTATGTCACTGCAAAGGTTGCCATGTCTTATCATTAAGTTGAATTTAGATTTTTGAAAAAAAAAAAAGTGAGAGGTAATTCATATTTGCTCCCCAACCCTTCCTTTCAACCCTACTTCTCATACACTTTATGTCAGCTGAAAACTGAAGTATTTGTTACCTAATATTGTTTCACTTCCAAGCATATACCTGGCTGGTACGGTGGTTCACAATCAGGAGACAGCTGCACCTCTCTAAACATTGAGTTTTAACTGTATTTCTTACTATTTCAGTATTCACAGAACCCAGACTTCCTTTGGAGGTTGTCAAAGGCAGCATATTTCTTATCACAAATTGAGAATGGAAGAGGAAATGATGAAAGGAAGAAGAGTCTAGTATACGAAGCTAGGGATAGTGCCCAAGATGCCTTCAGTATAGATGAGAATAAAGCAGAGGCTCATAAATGGTATGAAAGGGTTGTATGTTACAAGTCCATCTCTGCAGGGTATTATTACTTCAGTGCATTCAGTGTAATCAGCTTAATTGTCTGAGAAGCTTCCTCGCGTGAAAGAGCTTCTGAGAGCCGAACAGACATGAAAGTTAATTACCCCCCTGCTGGTCCAGGAGGCCTGTCAGACAATTAAGCTGATTACATTAAGTACACTAAAGCAGGAATCCCCAGAGTTGGATTGATCCAGCTAGTACGATGTGTTCTTCTGAACGCTCCCTTATATAATTGTTTCCTTGACTTAAGCTAAGTGAAGAAAAAAAGTGTTGTAAAAGTTGTGTGATAAGATGTTTCTAAGCATGAAGGTCTGCAGATCAATTTTTTTTTTTATTTTATTATTTTTTTTTTTTTACAAAATTTAATGTGCAGCTCTTTTATTTAATGCATTCGCACTATTTATGTACTTTGGATTTCTCTCACAACCTTAACAAACTCTATGATTATTTTGTAGGTATGCTATAACATTGGGCAGCATAGGAGAAATTGAAGGAATGCAAGTTAAGATTAAAAGTGGTTATGAGTTTAAGGTATCTCTTTTTTTTTTATTTTATTTATATAATATTATGCATTACATTTTAAAATGTAGATCATTAGTCATAGTCATTTAATTTAAAGCTTAGGAAGTATAAAAAAAGGCCAAACATGATTTGTCTGAGATGTATAATAGTAATTTTAGTATGTGGTAAATGACTGATATATAGAGTAGGCAATTAGTATACTTTGTACAACTAATGCTTGTCTGGCATATTTTTATTCTTCTTTTCATCTTAGTGTTTCATACATACTTGCAATATGACCAAAATTTTGTTATGAAGGTTATAAAAATGTTCAGTCCATGTGTTTTCTAGGATCACATTGAGAAGGCTATAGCCATAAATCCAAGTGATCCGTCACTTCACCATCTCTTGGGCAGGTGGTGCTATGGGGTAAGTTTCCCTCATTTTTTTGTCTTTTTGTTAAATTTTTGGAGTAAAAATGATTATTTTTGTTACCTGTACTACTACATATATTTCATATGCATATCTGGCCATGATTATGATAGTATACCTTAGGGCAGTATGTTCACAATGAAACTATTGTACTTGGCAGTTCAAATTAACTCTGTGGGGATTCTCAATGAGTGCAGTAAGGTTAACAAATTAACATGCCGCCTCTTGTTTGCAATGTACTGGTATAATCACCGTCTGTTCTGTATTCTACTCAATGCCAGGAGGAGGTATTTTAATCTGTTAATCTGATTACATTCAGCAAGAGTCCCATGGAGTAAGTACCTAGTATGATAATTTCCCCTGCAGAGTAAGACCCCATTCCCAGAGATTAGATCGATCCAACTAGATCGACCTAACTCCCTGGGGGTTCACACTAAATAGCTGTCAGCCGAGTGGGCAAGAAAGTTAATTACCCCCTTACAGCGTGTAGTAGTCGGGACGGACATTTAAGCCGGATTATCTGACAGTAATCTAGTGAGACTCCCCACGGGGATAGATCTATCTAAAATCTTTGGGATTGCGCCCTAAGTTCCATGTATGATAATTTCCCTGTGGAGTTAGGACCTGACACTAATATCTACCTAGTACAATGGAACTACCTACTGCGATAGTTTCATTGTGAATGTAGCCTTAGATGAGTACATTTTATTCAAACATTAGGTCTATATGTTAACCTGGATAGAAAGAAAAGTTGCATCCACGTTATTTGCTACTCCACCTACTGCAACCATTGATGAAGCTTTGAAGCATTTCAAGGAGGTGAGAAAAGTGGAAAAAAACTTAAGACTCCTCAGCAAATCAACATGTAAAATTCGTAACATTGAAAATGCCTGTACTAAGATTTGACTACTAATTGCTGCAACTAATTACATGATTACATGATGATGACCCATAATTTGTATAGATTTATGTCTAAGTAATTACTTTCATCTATATGGGTAACCAGGTCTCCTTCTATTTTAGGCTGAGAGATTGAGCCCAGGCAAATGGAAAGAAAATATGTTATACTTAGCAAAGGTAATAACAGCGATAATAGCTAAATCTACCTATTCAGTGGAAGTTTATTTAAATAGAAGACAGTTTCTCAGCTCTTTGCATACATAGGTACAATCATTAATCATAGATAAATGTCCGTTGTTTTGTCATTTTCCTTGATTCCAAGCAAAAGGTAAAGAAATTCAAACTAGTTTACTTTTAAATATCATTTAAAGAAAAATGCTCTTTCAAAGAGTCAATTTGTTGATTTGCAATAATTTATTCATATTATAAATCTCAGAGTTTCATTGAAAAAAAAGACTACAGCTCGGCAGTACTGTGGTTGGAGAAAGCTGATGCTCTTGTAGGCTCCAGTCAAGATGTAAGTATGCAAGTGGTCAGTGGAATGCAGAGGAAAAGAGCATTCTAACCTGTGCTTTTGTCGTCCTTAAGATAATCTCCAAATGAGCAATAATAAGGGGAAATTACATGTAATGAATATATTAAGACACCATAGCCACATATTTTAGAAAATGCCTGATATTAAAACATATACATTATTTATATAAGTATCCTAATATGTATATTACAATAAAAATAATAGGAATTAGACAAGAGCATATATGTTTTCAAAATTTTAAAGTTACTAAGTATTAAACTATAAGTGAAAGAAATATAACAATACATCGAAAAGGCTGCATAATATTTAAATTGTAGCATTATTATTGGGAAGATGAAAAGAAATATGATTATGTATTTCAACTTTATCTTTTTAGGACAAAACTGCCCAAGAAGAGATTACAAAACTTCTCAATCAGTATAGAACATATGCCTAATGAATGTTTATTCAATTACAAGAAAAGACAGAGGAATGTGTCAACTAGTCCCAAACTCAGACAAAAATAAGTGAAGGGATAGTGATAACTTCATGGCATGACTACAATGAACAAATGCTAGGATTATGTAATTGTTGAAATGTTTAAGAAAGAGTATATTTTTGGTGAAACTGTGATAGAAAAGTAAAATATTGACTTGACCTTTCACTTCAAAAGTCCCTGTGTTATGATGCACATGTGAGATGTTCAAGCATAATCTCACACACACACACATACACATACACAGTGCAACCAGTCAGTAATTAGCAGTGCATTGCTAGTCTTGACAGTGTGTGCTCATTTTGTGTTCTCCCTGACAAAGTATTGCCTTAGAAGCAGTAGGATACACTTTGTTCAGGCATAGGAATATCTCGCACCCTGACATTTCATATCACTCCTATTTCTGAGCAGTATATATCATACTGAATGTGACAGATTCTACCCAGATTCTTGTAGGAAATGTTTTATTCACTGTTAATATTTATTGGAAAAAGATGTGTTTTGTCTTAAAGGTATATGAACCAAATGGATGTGGTTGTCTACTTACATTTTACTTATACGTTCCATAGGAAATTAAGTCAACAAAAATGTTTGATCAGCAATATAAAAAAAACAACATTTGCAACATACAATTTTTAGTTATATATATTTTTCATTCAGTGCTCCATTAAAAAAGAAGAGACTTAAAAATTTTGAGATTTTCTGATGTTTTCAGATTTCCAGTTTGTACTGATAAAATTAGAATTTTACTGGTTGGAGACAATATAAAGTACATTGTGAGTAAAAAAAAAAAGAGGTTTAAGGGTAGAATTGGTGTATAAGGAAAAAATCCATGCTAAAATCTTATCCTGCTCAAAGGTTAAAATCACTCAGAGGGCTTAGTCATATTAGAATTTATAAGGTACTCATTTTGAATGTTTAAAGTACACATTATGTGGAAAATGATAATATTGTATTATTTACTTATTATTCTTTGTTGTTTAGGTTTATGATGATTGTTAATCATCATTTATGTGATCTTTGAAAATNAGGAAGTAATCTGGATAGGATTAATTCCTGGGGTAGATTAGACTTGTTCCTTGTAATGCTTGTGAAGCCATGATTGTTATTAATGTGGTTTGTGGCTTCTACATCCTATGTCACTGCAAAGGTTGCGGTGTCTTATCATTAAGTTGAATTTAGATTTTTGAAAAAGAAAAAAAAGTGAGAGGTAATTCATATTTGCTCCCCAACCCTTCCTTTCAACCCTACTTCTCATACACTTTATGTCAGCTGAAAACTAAGTATTTGTTACCTAATATTGTTTCACTTCCAAGCAAATACCTGGCTGGTACAGTGGTTCACAATCAGGAGACAGCTTCACCTCTCTAAACTTTCAGTTTTAACTGTATTTCTTACTATTTTAGTATTCACAGAACCCAGACTTCCTTTGGAGGTTGTCAAAGGCAGCATATTTCTTATCACAAATTGAGAATGGAAGAGGAAATGATGAAAGGAAGAAGAGTCTAGTATACGAAGCTAGGGATAGTGCCCAAGATGCCTTCAGTATAGATGAGAATAAAGCAGAGGCTCATAAATGGTATGAAAGGGTTGTATGTTATGAGTCCATCTTTGCTGGGTATTATTGCTTAAGTGCATTCAGTGTAATCAGCTTAATTGTCTGACAAGCCTCCTCACGTGAAAGAGCTTCTGAGCGCCGAACGGACATGATAGTTAATTACCCCCCTGCTGGTCCAGGAGGCCTGTCAGACAGTTAAGCTGATTACATTAAGTACACTAAAGCAGGAATCCCCACAGAGTTGGATTGATCCAGCTAGTATGATGTGTTCTTCTGAATGCTCCCTTATATAATTGTTTCCTTGACTTAAGCTAAGTGAAGAAAAAAGTGTTGTAAAAGTTTTGTGATAAGATGTTTCTAAGCATGAAGGTCTGCAGATCACTTTTTTTTTTTTTTTTTTTTTTTTTACAAAATTTAATGTACAGCTCTTTTATTTAATGCATTGGCACTATTTATGTACTTTGGATTTCTCTCACAACCTTAACGAATTCTATAATTATTTTGTAGGTATGCTATAACATTGGGCAGCATAGGAGAAATTGAAGGAATGCAAGTTAAGATTAAAAGTGGTTATGAGTTTAAGGTATCTCTTTTTTTATTTTATTTTATTTATATAATATTATGTATTACAGTTTAAAATGTAGATCATTAGTCATAGTCATTTAATTTACAGCTTAGGAAGCATAAAGAAGGTCAAACATGATTTGTTTTGAGATGTATAATAGTAATTTTAGTATGTGGTAAATGACTGATATATAGAGTAGGCAATTAGTATACTGTGTACAACTAATGCTTGCCTGGTATATTTTTATTCTTCCTTTCATCTTAGTGTTTCATACATACTTGCAATATGACCAAATTTTGTTATGGAGGTTATAAAAATGTTCAGTCCATATGTTTTCTAGGATCACATTGAGAAGGCTATAGCCATTAATCCAAATGATCCGTCACTTCACCATCTCTTGGGCAGGTGGTGCTATGGGGTAAGTTTCCCTCATTTTTTTGTCTTTTTGTTAAATTTTTCGAGTAAAAATGATTATTTTTGTTACCTGTACTACTACATATATTTCATATGCATATCTGGCCATGATTATGATAGTATACCTTAGGGCAGTATGTTCACAATGAAACTGTTGTACTTGGCAGTTCAAATTAACTCTGTGGGGATTCTCACCGAGTGCAGTAAGGTTAACAAATTAACATGCCTCCTCTTGTTTCCAATGTACTGGTATAATCACCATCTGTTCTGTATTCTACTCAATGCCAGGAGGAGGTATTTTAATCTGTTAATCTGATTACATTCAGCAAGAGTCCCATGGAGTAAGTACCTAGTATGATAATTTCCCCTGCAGAGTAACACCCCATTTCCATAGATTAGATCGACCTACTTTAGATCAACCTAACTCCCTGGGGGTTCACGCTAAATAGCTGTCAGCCGGGCGGACACGGAAGTTAATTACCCCCTTACAGCCTGTAGTAGGCGGGAAGGACATTTAAGTCGGATTATCTGAAAGTAATCTAGTGAGACTCCCCGCGGGGATAGATCGATCTAAAATCTATGGGGATAGAGCCTAAGTTCCATGTATGATAATTTCCCTGCAGAGTTAGGACCGGATACTAATATCCACCTAGTACAATGGAACTACCTACTGCGATAGTTTCATTGTGAATGCAGCCTTAGATGAGTACATTTTATTCAAACATTAGGTCTATATGTTAACCTGGATAGAAAGAAAAGTTGCATCCACATTATTTGCTACTCCACCTACTGCAACCATTGATGAAGCTTTGAAGCATTTCAAGGAGGTGAGAAAAGTGGAAAAAATTTAAGACTCCTCAGTAAATCAACATGTAAAATTCGTAACATTGAAAATGCCTGTACTAAGATTTGACTACTAATTGCTGCAACTAATTACATGATTACATGATGATGACCCATAATTTGTATAGATTTATGTCTAAGTAATTACTTTCATCTATATTGGTAACCAGGTCTCCTTCTGTTTTAGGCTGAGAGATTGAGCCCAGGCAAATGGAAAGAAAATATGTTATACTTAGCAAAGGTAATAACAGCGATAATAGCTAAATCTACCTATTCAGTGGAAGTTGTTTATTTAAATAGAAGACAGTTTCTCAGCTCTTTGCATACATAGGTACAATCATTAATCATAGATAAATGTCCGTTGTTTTGTCATTGATTCCAAGCAAAAGGTAAAGAAATTCAAACTAGTTTACTTTTAAATATCATTTAAAGAAAAATGCTTTTTCAAAGAGTCAATTTGTTGATTTGCAATAAGTTATTCATATTGTAAATCTCAGAGCTTCATTGAAAAAAAAGACTACAGCTCGGCAGTACTGTGGTTGGAGAAAGCTGATGCTCTTGTAGGCTCCAGTCAAGATGTAAGTATGCAAGTGGTCAGTGGAATGCAGAGGAAAAGAACATTCTTACATGTGGTTTTGTCGTCTTTAAGATAATCTCCAAATGAGCAATAATAAGGGGAAATTACATGTAATGAATATATTAAGACACCATAGCCACATATTTTAGAAAATGCGTGATATTTAAACATATACAATGTTTATATAAGTATCCTAATATGTATATTACAGAAAAAATAATAGGAATTAGACAACAGCATATATGTTTTCAAAGTTTTAAAGTTACTAGGTATTAAACTATAAGTAAAAGAAATATAACAATACAGCGAAAAGGCTGCATAATATTAAAATTGTAGCATTGTTATTGGTGAAGATGAAAAGCAATATGATTATGTAATTCAACTTTATCTTTTTAGGACAAAACTGCCCAAGAAGAGATTACGAAACTTCTCAATCAGTATAGAACATATGCCTAATGAATGTTTATTCAATTACAAGAAAAGACAGAGGAATGTGTCAACTAGTCCCAAACTCAGACAAAAATAAGTGAAGGGATAGTGATAACTTCATGGCATGACTACAATGAACAAATGCTAGGATTATGTAATTGTTGAAATGTTTTAGAAAGAGTATATTTTTGGTGAAACTGTGATAGAAAAGTAAAATATTGACTTGACCTTTCACTTCAAAAGTCCCTGTGTTATGATGCACATGTGAGATGTTCAAGCATAATCACACACACACACACACACACACACACACAGTGCAACCAGTCAGTAATTAGCAGTGCATTGCTAGTCTTGACAGTGTGTGCTCATTTTGTGTTCTCCCTGACAAAGTATTGCCTTAGAGGCAGTAGGATACACATTGTTCAGGCATAGGAATATCTCGCACCCTGACATTTCATATCATTCCTATTTCTGAGCAGTATATATCATACTGAATGTGACAGATTCTACCCAGATTCTTGTAGGAAATGTTTTATTCACTGTTAATATTTATTGAAAAAAATGAGTTTTGTCTTAAAGGTATATGAATCAAATGGATGTGGATACTAATGGATGTGGTTGTCTACTTACATTTTACTTTTACGTTCCATAGGAAATTAAGTCAACAAAAACAAAAATGTTTGATCAGCAATATAAAAAAACATTTGCAACATACAATTTTTAGTTATATAAATTTTTCATTCAGAGATAAATGTGCTCCATTAAAAAAGAAGAGACTTTAAAATTTTGATACTTTCTGATGTTTTCAGATTTCCAGTTTGTACTGATAAAGATTAGAATTTTACTGGTTGAAGATTATATTAAAGTACATATTGCTTATAAATCCACATTGCATTGTGAGTAAAAAAAAGAGGGTTAATCGGTATATAAGGAAAAAATCACATGCAAAAAACTTATTCTGCTCAAAGGTTAAAATCACTCGGAGGGCTTTTAGTCATATTGGAATTTAAAAGGTACTCATTTTGAATGTTTAAAATACATGTTATGTGGAAAACAATAATATTGTATTATTTACTTATTTTTCTTTGTTTTTTACATTTATGATGATTGTTAATCATCATTTATGTGATCTTTGTGAGTAATGTATTTTTGATTACCTGTACAGAGTAACTGAATTTTAAGTCAATGTCAACATTATTTTCTGTATTCTATAAACGGGAATAAATTTCCTAACATAAAAAGGCAGCACTTATATTGTATCTGAAAAGATTCTGCAGGAATTAAAATATTTTCCACACATTTTGTGTATTGATTTGATGATATTTTCCTTTTATTTATTTACTTTTATTTACATTAACTAGATTTTTGGATTTTAAAAGGGCAGCATATGCTTTAAAATTTTAAGTAAAAGGAATTGTTCAGTATCTGGATGAAAAATGTGGAGGGATACAAACTGGACCAGAATTGTTCAGCATGCATTAGGAACTGCAACACTTTGGTTGTCAAAGAAAGGGATGTGCATGAAACTGTACTGGGAGAAATATAAATTAAAAACATAAAACTATAAAGTTACTACAGCTGTAAAAACTAGGAATGGAAAGTTGCAACACAAGTTAGTATATGACTTATTTAATTTGCATTTTATTTCATTTTTTTTCCCAAGAACTGGCACATTGTGAAAAATCAAACGTCAACTTCTTTCTCAATTATTACAACTTAAAGATTGGTATACTAATGTTTGTAGCATCTCAGAGTTGAGTAGTCTGTGGCCGAAGGGGATGATGTTCATGACCTTGACTGTCTGAAAATAGATAATAGTTTGAGTTTGTTTTTTTTTTTTTTAATGTCAGCATATGAATTTAATTTGATGAGTGACAGTTCTGCCTTCTTCATTCATTGTCTCAGATCGGCGAGTGAAAATTATTTTCACAAATTTATCAAATAGGCAATTCATCACGGACAAAGGCAACATATTCCCTTTTTGATACAATTCATATTGTTTTTGTTGTGTCCAATGTACATGTTGGTCATTGAGGTGTGTGAGTTATATAAGTCTCTCACATTTTCGTTGTTCTCGTAATGAAAGTAATGTCAGCGTTATACTTAACTGGTTACATAAGTCAAGTTAAGCCAAGCGCATGGTAAGGGGCGAGTTCTTTTAATAGATTTCTAAAGTGTATATGTGTACATACCGTATTACTTAACTGCCATACAACCTGGCCGCACAGAAGTCTCCCATCTTTCAAACGCGTATTAATTGCCTAAACAAAAATGATGGCAAGCAATTAATGTTTGTATTACACAACAGGCATGCTTTGTTTTAGAGTTGAATATTTATAAATGAATGCACTATTTTTCTTGATGTCTCAGATCGGCGAGTGAAAGTTGTTTTCACGACACATCAATAATAAACATTGTGATATGTCATCATCGACATCAGTTAAGTTATTTACTTTGTAACTGTCCATCAGTTTTTCAGAATGCAAATGTTGATTAATTTCAAAAACACCACAAATTATAATTAAAATACAATTAAAGTTTGCAGGGGCGGATCCAGGATTATTTGAAGGGGGGGTCCACGGGGTGCCGTGGTAATTTTGGTATTTTAGAAGGCGAATGGTGCAATTTGGTACGGTTTAGATCTATGATTCAGCTAGTCAAAATTTTAACAAAGTTAAGCCAAGCGCGTGGTACGGGGCGAGTTATTTTAAGAGATTTCTAAAGTGTATATGTGTACATACCGTATTACTTAACTGCCGTGTAACCTGGCCGCGCAGAAGTCTCCCATCTTTCAATCGTGTATTATTGCCTAAACAAAAATGATGGCAAGCAGGTAATGTTTGTATTACAAAACAGGCATGCTGTGTTTTAGATTTGAAATATTCGCTATTCTGCGTTAATATTGCAAGAAACAGAAAAAGAGAATTTTTCTTGATGTCTCAGATCGGCGAGTGAAAGTTGTTTTCACGACACATCAATAATAAACATTGTGATATGTCATCATGGACAATAAGTTTAGTTATTTACTTTGTAACTGTCCACCAGTTTTTCAGAATGCAAATGTTGATTAATTTCAAAAACACCACAAAATATAATTAAAATACAATTAAAGTTTGCAGGGGGCGGATCCAGGATTATTTAAAGTTGGGAGGGGGGCGCGGTTGGGAAGCCGATCCTCTCCCCCCCCCCCCTTGGCCGGGGGTTTGGGGCCTACCGAAGAGCCCCGAAATTTTTTTGGTATTTTAGAGGGCGAACAGTACCATTTGGTACGGTTTAGATCTATGATTTCGATAGTCAAAATTCTCATTTCAAGGGGGGACCATGGGTGTGATTTTTTTCGGTTTGGATTTTTGTGAACTCAAAAACGCTCTTATGCAGTCACATTTCAAGTACTTAAAATGAAGAAAAATACTCTCTTAAAACTACATTTTTTAGGCTCACATTATTCTTTGAAAATACTGGGAATTGGGGCTGCTCGGTGCGGCAAAATATATATCCATTTGCAAAGTGTTTCCATCCCTCAAAAACCTGAAAAAAAACGCTAAAATGAAAAGATAAACGAACCTTCCAAGATATCAAAACTTCATTTCTTTTTGTCTCTCGGAAATCAAAGATAAATGTTGAATATTGCCCTCTCCGAGGCATTATCCGAGGCTTTAAACTGTATAACGTGTCATTGTGATAAGAGGCAACATATCATTAAACGGTTTCTTATCTTGATAACGCTACAACAGCTTAATTTAGCCCAATTTTTGTTTGAACAGGGCCCACAGAACTGGAGCAGACCAATAGTTGTTATATTCATCAGTTGCATTCGATGATGATTTTAAAAAATCTCAAATGACTGAAAAGTTATAGCTGCAGAATCGTCGAACAAATATAATACTACACGCGTCGATACTAACCCTCAGGCAACGGAGTCCAGAGAGCGCTCTGGATCAGACTGAAGTGCTTCATTCAACCAAGGAGTTATAACAGGCGACCATGGCGACCATCCTCAGTCACCACCTTATAATCGCTTTCTATGATATCGTTCCCTCCCAGCACATCGTCCAAATAACTACCTGTGAAAAAAAAATCGTCAGCATACAGCGCCGCTTTGACACTACTGATCTCGAATTCTAACGAAATCAATCTCCAAGCGGAGGAGCGCGACCCAGACGAAACCTTGAGACAGGAGGCCCCCCGTAGCTAGCTCCGCCCACCGTAACAGACATCGGACAATAGAGAGGCTTGCTTGTAATCTCCTTCTGTTATAACTCCTTGATTCAACTCATTTTCTCATCCTACAATAGGAGGATCATATTAAAATAAAGCGCATCTTTACCCTTCAGTTTTTCCAATATGAAATTTAAATGTAAGAAAGTTTCAGATTGGCGTGTAGACAATGTTTCCAAAAATTCATCAAACAATCGTCTTCCTATTTTATTCATTTAAATTGAAATAAAAATTAAGGAGATTAATCGTAATATATGATAATAAAAGCGTTTCAGTTTGTTGTATCGTTTTGATGTTCGTAGATTTAGATTTAGGCATAATTACTTACCCATTAGTTTCCGATTCCAAAAGAACCTAATTTAGTAGATAGGTAGCAGAATAAGAATCCTATATTCTGAAATAGTGGGGACAGATAAATCGTTCACTGCAATGATGAAATCATCTTTATGTACAAATTCACTATTATTAGAACTTGTCTCAGATCGGCGAGTGAAAAATTGTTTTCATGTTTTATCAATATCTAACATATGTGAAGTTCATCACAGACAAGTTTTTGTAAAATGACGCATTGTTAGAGAAAAAAACACATTAAGATAATGACACTAAGGCAGAAGGACAAAGAAATTTACGGCAAAAGGCATAGGGAACAGTCAATTTTCGCAAAATAAAATAAAATAAAAAACATTTCAATGCGGTTTCGAGAATTTTCACGTTATGCCATTTATGTGAGGGCAATTTTCCATCCGCCATTAAATTTTGAAAATCGGTCGGTCCGTTTGAAATTTACTTCGGTCTCTTGCTGTTAAAATCACTAGTTTGTGTCCGATTTTGACGTTTAAACAGCAAATAAATATTAATCCAAATGTTTTAAACATGGCGGAATGAAGTCACATAATGTTAATCAACCGGATATTGCCCCGTTTGCCTTTGACTTTGAAATTTTTTAAGCGATTACCAGAGCGACACTCACCTGGAGTTAGTGCCTCCACAGCTGTCTTCAAACAACTGGGCATGAACGACTTATTTACCAAAATTTGTACCATATGCAGTGTACAGGGTATTCATTTAAACCGACTTTAACAACCAGCGACCCAAAGGTCTTCCACGTGGTGGTTTCCCGCTGAATTAACAACGTGCGTCCTATTTGTTGCACCTTTATTAACTGATAGGAGATCGAATGTTTGCACAAACGCTGATATGAGACCTGGATCCATAGATCAGGGAGAATAATCGTCCTCCTCTCAAAAATCCTACATGGCCCAAATGATTCATTCGATTAATAAGTGCATTAAGCCTGAACAGGCACGTTTTTACGTCTGATTTTAATATTACTAAATATTTTCTAACGTCGAGCAAAGGCCCGAGTTTCCCTATAAAGCAGACTCTTCATACACATGTATTTGTACTGCTGTGAAATGACGCTACACATTGCGCACTGATGGTGCAATCCGCTTCTTATTTTCAGCACAGGTTTTTATCTGCATATGGCCTAGATGTCATTCAATGCTACGTTTTTTAGAAGCTTGCAACGACCTATTTCATGAATGTATGTGTGGAGGACTTTGCAGATCAGTTAAACGGGCTTATCATTATTCTTTAAAGAAAAAATTCAGATTAGTGAACTGTGAATTGATTTGATTAAAAGAAGAAAGAGAGACAATTGAGAGAGAGAGAGAGAGAGAGAGAGACTAGATCTGCTAATAAAATAGACAAAACAAAGGAAAATTTTTTAACAAAATATTTCTAGCTTTATTGAAACAAATACATTTCCAATGAATTATACTGGTTAACAATGTCACAAAATTGTTTTTCACTTTATAACATTCAGAGATATGCTGGCGCATTTAAGACGCAGTCGAGTAAATCAACAACGCGCGCTGATAACGATGGAATGAATAGCAAGCATACATAGATACAGGTTATATTAGATAAAATGCATATAAAAGCACGTTAACCGGCTCACATATTTATATTTAACATTTAACTTTTTAAATAGCTGACATTAGTTCAAAGAGACGGTCTAATTTTTTTCATAGGAGGTATAACTACAAATGTGTCAGTTTATACAGCTGTTCCAGTGCGTTTACACCGTAGCTCGACTGCAAGGTCTGAATCCCCAAATCGGCTTCGCTTCTTCTTATTTTTCCTCTTCCAAGCCCACCCCGATTTTTCCACTCGTTTCCGGAAAAATGCAGAATTTCCAGTTTTAATAAAGAACGGACAGTAGTTGGTAAATAAGTCAGATTATTATCTTTAATATCTAGTTCCAGAAGGCCAGATAAAAGTCCTATTTCTCTGGGAATAACGGAGAGAAGATTTCCTCCTAGTCGCAGCACCTGAAGGTTTTCTTGGAATCTCCCAGAAAACACGCTTGGATGTATTTCTCGAATTACATTACAAGATGCATCTAGTGTTTTCAAATTTCTAAGAAATCCAACAGCAACCGGTATCTTGAGTATCCTGTTCTTAGAGATATTCAGTTCTTCCAGTTGAGTCAAATATTGCACAGTCCCTGGCAGTTCTATCAACTTGTTGCTACTCACATCTAGGGTTATCAGGTTGGGTAAAAACTTGAATACCACTTCTGGTATCTTAGTAAATTTATTCCAGGATAAATCAAGCGTCATCAAAAAGTGTAAATGAGATAGTTGAATAGGGACAGGGCCTTCCAGTCCACATTCACTGACGTAAAGATGCTGAATATAAGGAATTTTCAGATAAATTTCATGAGGGATATGATGAAGTTTAATTCTGTTAAGAGATACACATTTCGTTCCTTGTGCTTGTTTCACTTTGGAATGGACAATTAGCTCCAGTTTGGATTTGCTTTTATCGAGCCTGTACGTCATATAATTCCTTTCCATGTTAAAAAGCAGCAGCTAATCATGGGGCTCTTGTGGCAGAAGCATTGACACTGACAGGTCATGACACCTAGGGCCTTGGAAAGAACCTCCTGTATGTGCTTACATAGGTCTGTTCGGCTAAAATTTGGGCTTATAGGCCTATACTCAGTAAACTGTCGGTTACTGCGGGGTAAGGCAGATAATAAAATTCTGAAAACATAAGACTGTTTAAACGGCTTGTGATCAATCCTCTGATCCTACTTGTTGCAGTCATCTCAAAGAAGAAGCACAGCTTCATTCTCAATTGCAGTGGTGTAGTCTTCGTCTTTAAAAACGTGTTTAGGAGCGCCCACTAAAAGCGCCTAACGCTTTGTAATCGGACCAGACAAAGGCGGACTTGAACGAAACAAGGTCTTGGGGAGAAAATCAGTACCTTATTGTTCACGTTACGTGCAGTATACACCCCTTTCTCTCCTCAAAGCACGTTGGTTTTCATAATAATAATAATATCAGGCTATTTCACGTTGTTAATTACACATCGATTTAACTGTCATCCCGAGTCATACTTCTTGTAACAGTTTACACTCTGCTAGCAACTTACTCTGTAGATGGCGCTGAAAGCGGAATAAACAATTGAATTCTTTATTGATAAACACCTTCACATATAAGGTGCAATTATCAGATCATAGACTTTACATCTAACTTCATCAAATAAATTGATAAATAAATAGATAGATAGCTAAGATAGAGAAACATTTAGTTTGTGGTTCGTGCTGCCATCTTTCAATAAAAATTGTTTACATTGGTAACGACAAAGCAGGTGCTAATCTGACTTGAGGGCCGGGTAATTCGTGTGACTTTTTTCCCAATTTTCTGAATTATTTACAATGAACGCGGAAGAGATTTCACTAAAGGATAAATTGAGGAGACACTACCATGATCGTGATCGATTTAAGTTGAAGCCATCTTATTCAAACTACGCTGGAATGACCTACTTCTGGTTCATGAATATCACCGTTCTAATGACAAGCCATTTCATCGTCATCCCCGCTATTTTGGATGCATCGCAAGTTATGCAAGGTATCATAATTGCCTGGGCGTTATTTACAGAGGTCACAATTAACTGGATTTTGGCTTCAAAGAAAAATGCATCCACAGTGACTCAGGAAATATCAGAAAAGCAACCTCAACCTTCGAACACCAGTTACAATAGTTTTGGGTGGAAGAAATGCATTAAATGTCAGATGAATAGCCCGCCCAGGGCTAATCACTGTTCTCTATGCGGAGCATGCATCCTTAAGCGAGACCTCCACTGCTTTGTGACTGGAAACTGTCTAGGTTTTCATAACCAAAGATATTTCATAGTTATGCTTTTCTATATCGTCGTTGGACTAACTTATGCAGGAGTGCTGAATGTATTATACATGAATAGCATCTATCCTATTGGATCAGAATTTGTGAATTATATCCCATTTATAACCCCGTGGAAAGTTTACCAGGGAGAAGTGAATTTGCTCTTTGTTTGGTTGCTCTTCCTATTTTATTGCAGCATTTGTTCTGTTGGAGTTGCTGGGTTCTTTTTGCTTTGGGAAATCACTGTGGTATATCGGGGACAGACAACTGGAGAAGCATGGAAAAGAATCAGATTCTACAAGTCACCTCATATTTTACAGCATATCCGTGTTGTGTTTGGACCTTATTGGATCCTGAATTTCATTATTCCTCTTCCCACCAGTCTTCCAGGGGATGGCTTACACTGGGAAATTAACCCAAACCTTAAGGTGCATTGAGTCATTCAATCTAAATAATCTGATGAACACGGGTGTGAATTATCTCTCTGCAAACTATGCTTTCCTTATTTATTTATTATTATTATTACATCTATGTAGATTAAAGCACTTAATACCATATTTGTTGTGTGAGGAGCTGAAATTACAGTGTGCAATTTTTACAAGCAACAGTTACGAAATAAGCTGGTGGATATAGATTTTAGTCACTGAATTTTCAGAAAGATGGGAGTTCATTTTTGAATGGTGTCTATCATATCAATGACTCAGATTTAAACATGAATAAGCAAAGCTGATTAAATCATTGATATGCATTCAGCAAATGTGAGCTTCAAAAGTTTTCCCTAGTAACCTACATTCAAGTACACTATATAGTAGTAGCTGGAAGAAATTTTGTATTTAAGGCAGTAAAATAAATAATAAGTAATACATAAGTAGGCCTATATATTTGATAATTTGAGAAATAAATAGGTATTTGTAGTACTAGTAGGTCTAACCTATTTTTACATCATATCTACATGTAAGTACTTTTTCTAGTATTCCATTATTCTTTGTGTTAGTCCCTCATTGGCAATGTTTTCTTTTTTAACATTTTTAATTTTCTGTAAACTGTAGATATATTTATTTAATCATTTTTGATATCAACAATTTACATAAGTGTGTGTCAAACTATATCAATTACATGTAGACCAACTTTACAGTGTAGTATTGCAAAAAAATTACACTAAGATTCATGCACTGTCATTTATAAATTTCAATATTTAGGCATTTTTCATAATTAATTTACATACATAAAAACCTAAAATACTTTTTCAATACTTGATTTAAAATCTTTTTTTATCAGTCATAAATTTAATTGCTTGTACCCCATGGAATCTACGTTTTGTCCAAAAAATTGATTTATGAATTTTCAATTAATAAACTGATATAAAAAACGTGAAAATTCTTATATGCACTATTTTAAGTAAATCTCTCTCTCTCTCTCTCTCTCTCTCTCTCTCTCTCTCTCTCTCTCGATTGAGTGATTGATTGAAATCACTTATCCTACGATTATAGCGTCAATCAATTGTTAATGTTAATGATACTCTCTTACCCCTTTTATGGATTTTTCTTGACTTAGTCGCGGGTAAATGCGGGGTTGTCGACTAATAGTACGCATATGCAAAGTTTACCCTAGATTTTCTATTGTAAATCCTCCTCTGCCATTAGGAGTAGCTAGGCTTTAAGTTTATCCAGCGATTTTTACTAAAATAGATCCAGATCTATTCAGAACCAGACAATGTCAGTTTTAAGATAACTGAAATAGATATTATTCGATCGTGATAATATCACCATAGCAATACTTATAGATCACATGTACGTTTGTTTTTAAAACAATATCGTTGACCACCCTGCATGGACCTTTTTTAATCTAATGCAATTGCCCAATCATAATACTGGTATAAAATACATGTACTTTTACTTTGTCATACACATTCTACTAGTTTTTCAATCTTTTCCAGTGAAAGCAGTGGGCTGACTATGTAGATCGCCAATCAACAAAGGCTTGGAGAAACGAGAATCTTTACCATTTGCACACTAGGACAGGGGTATCCTGGAACTTTGACTCTCGGTTGATTTCAAGAATGTCCGGGTCATATATTTCGTCAGCTTTTAAGTTTCAGTCTCTGACTGAAATTAACACAATTTTCCTTAGCAGCAAAATATTTTGTACTGCAGTTTCTGAACAGACCTGTGAACTCTCTCGATCTCGTCGCGAGTCCCCCTGATTTGGGGACATATATCCCGATCGCCCTATTCAGACTAAAAATCTCCCGATCTATCAGACTCCTCTCTCTCTTTCCTTTCGTTAGGACGTGCGGTGACTTCATTCGCGAAAATGTGCAGTCACATGATAGGTTTAATTGATGGAGGATAGTAATTGCAGTAAATATTTATTTATTTATTTATTTATTTATTTATTTATTTATATAACCACCTTTAAAAGATGGATGAAAAAACGAATGAAATAAATAAGTTGAAATGAGTTGGAATAAAACGAAATACATAAAAATGACACAGCTTAGAAGACAGTTAAAAAGATTTTAAAAGTAGTCCCACAAGCATGTATTCCTTAGATTGTCTGCCTTGATATCTGGGACTATTGACTTAAAAAAACTCTTTCAGTCCTGGTGGTTCCATTGACCCTTCACTAGCAGATTTCGTGTTGCTCAGACATAAAATTGGGTTTATACCTTAGGAGATCAGCCTTTCTACACTGTAGCAGGGTTCCTATTCAAGAAGGAAATTCCAAAGACAAAACCACGTCGGGTCTTTGTGTGAGTAACATCCTGAACACTATGTATGTTAATGTCGTATTGGGACGAAACTTGTTCCGAAAAGAAACCGATACACCGATCATTTAAACCGCAGGCATTGTTTGTAAGTGCTTTTACAAGTAGACTTCCTCAGTTAACATTTAAATGAACGCCACCTGACCCAGATGAGAAAGCGGACCTTCTCCCAAACTCCCCTGGCCACGTGCCTGCTTATCCACAATATTTTAAGTCTTTTGCCAAATTTCGGTAGCTGTGTGAACATCAAAGCAATAAATTAGTTTTGCATTATGGGTTCTTTACTGTAAATGACTTTGCGAAACGGTAAAAGTTGTGAAAGTAAAAGTTGTTGAGTTCTAACACGTCTAAAGGTAAAATATAACTAGTATAATATGTATAGTCATTAAAAAACAGCGTGTATTCATTTTTTGTTTGTATGTGTGTGTTTCTTTTTTATATGTATTCGTGCGTGTGTGTCTGAGTGGGGCCTCTGGCGGTTGTCAATGTTGACAGGTATAGTTTCATTGATAGCTGTTGAAAACAGAAAAAAAAACTAGAACTCATCTCATTTGAAGTTCAAAACTCATGCAAATGAACATGAACAATAATGTATAAACTTTATTGGAAATAATTATTTTTTTACTATCCTACAACTTGTGTAGAGGCGATTGCAATTGACTATCACAGAGACTGCAATTTTCAAAACTGAAAACCTTCAAGAGAATGCAGGTATTTACCTGTTCTATAAGGCGTACGTTAGATTTTCAAAACTGGTAGACGTATAAATTGTCTCTGGTTATATTACAAGTGTGAGCATCAGGTGTCATTGAATACAGAAATAAATTTTTATTATTTAATCTTAGTCATTTTAATTTTATTGCGGAAAGACCAGTACCTCTTTCAAATACTTAAACACTAAATCATTAAAAACACCTGAAAATAGACCTCCCTTTCAAACAAATTACGCTCGCAATGACAAAATTGCAACCGGATTTATTCCAAATGAGATGAATGGTGAAGGTAATAGTACACATGTAATGGAGGTCTATTATAAACACTAAAGAATATATACCTCAATAAAATGCCACAGCATAGATAAGATTTTAAATTTAAATTGTAATACATGGTTTAGTAGCGACCGGTGTTTGTCTGCCGTAATTTCATTTCCATGTTTAATATGATAATTATCATGCGGTAATTTTTTAAGGAAATACACGTAGTTAAAACAATGCTACTTGTATCATTAATATTCTAAGAAAGTGTCCTTTCAGAAAAAGACACCCCCCCCCCTTTTGAAATTGCTAGCTACGGGCCTGTGTATCTAATCTCTTGCCAACTCGTCAGAAAAATCTCAAGAGGTCATTAATGTACGATAGGGGAATGGCTAACATAGCTTCGCAGGTACCCTTTTTCTCCCTCAATTAGTAAATAAATTAACAAAGGAACTGTATGACAAATAAAACGAAGGACATCCAACATATATCCCAGTTTCTTATATATTAAAGTGAAACTGTCCTCCTCTCCTACTTGTACGTGTACTCTAAATTTGCCGAGTTAAGCGATGCAAAACAATGAAACCTTAACCCCCCCCCAAGCAAAATTTTGGATCCCTGAGTGACGCTAAACCTTCAAAAGTTCAAGATCGTATCAACGAGAGCAGTCGAGGTCTTGCAAGCATTGTAGGATATACAAGACAAGTACGTTCATAAATTAAGAAATTCATTATATACGGTTTTGTTAAGTATGTTTTAGTAGCTAATACATCAAGTATATTAACATAAGAGATGATTAGATGAATTAAAGTTATCCACGCTATAGCATTTTAGTATGGGCGGAGCAAAGAACACTTAATAGAAAGCTGCATATATTTTATTCGTCTACGCCGCAGTTGCAATTATGACTTGCTGTCAAATAGATTTAAGAGAGATAACAATTTATTGTATGCACTTCATAGGAAGCTGTATATATTTTATTCGTGTAAGGCACAGGTGCAATTATGACTTGATGTCAAAAGGATTCAAGGGATTAATTTATTGTATTCAACAAACGCTATTTTTGAAAGCAAAAGTAAATTCTTTGTATAATTCAATATGCATCACAATACTGTTGAGGCGATTCAATTATTGCGCAATATTAAATTTTAAATAAAAGTAATTTATGTAGTGTTGTAAACTATACTCATTTAAAAGGTACCTCCACCCTTTTTTCTCTCCGTCTGCATCATTCAATACGTTTTCTCATAAAAATACTAGCAAACAATTTCTTTTAAATAGTAAGCAGTCAAACAAGAACACCGGTATAATCAATTAATTTCCCTTCACGATAGCACTACGTGTTTTTAATTGTGGAAAGTTTATATATTCAGATTTTCGTGTAAACAGTGTAATGAAGTGGTAAAAAAGTCCACGAAATCACACCTAAATGCATTATTGCGGTCAATTCGATGGGAGCAGTTTTCTGAAGTTGAGGTAAAAAACAAGGATTTTTTTATCATTTAACCCCTTAATCTTTTCTTCACATCTGGGTGTGTACTCATTTTGAAAAAAGAACTTTTACCCATGTTAGTTACACTCAGATTTTGACCTTTCTTTGGTTATTTGAAATTGACTTAAGAGCAGAGCAATAGCACAAAAAATACTATCTCGAAACGCTTTCTTTTTCCTATTCTGTTATTGGTTTTAAGAATTGCAATTATCCCAAACGTGTTGAATATCCTCTTCGTCTGTGCACCAGACCTTCCCAAGACTGAAACCCCATTGTCTACCCTCACATATATCAAAAGCTATTGAAAAAGAATGAAAAATGACCACAGGTAAGGAAATATTCTAAGAAACTTTTGTGAAAAAAAAACCTGGGTAGGTAATTGGTCCATTTAACCTTCAATAAAAATCTGAACGTTATCCTGTATTCACTGTGCATCCATTCTTCTTAATGTTAATTGATTACAATAATCATGAGCATATGCCATCAGGTTGCGTGAAAACATTTGTCACGTTTGTCACATTAAATTCTTCGAAGAAATATCACCTGTGAGTTATTCCAATGTAATCCCATCAATTATTTTCGCCTGCCACACTTACGCATATGCCAAACCCACAATTCATAGGCATCCTTTTAAAGTGCATCCTATTATTTTAATATTTAGTTTCATGTGGCTTAATGATGTTTAATAAACCTTCAAGTGATACACTCTTGCCATCGAAGCAAAAGCCACACCTGTTTTGTGATGTTTAGGTAACGTGTAAGGTAAACTGGTTCAATAAACATCAGTAGAACTAATAAAAATGTATGTTAGGTGCGACATAAAATTAGGACTTGTTAATTAGATTCACTGCCATCTCTCCAAAATGTCATGTATTCTACCGACGTCAAACAATGACCACAACTTAATAACCTCGTTGAAAAACCACACGGTGTATGACATCAAAAAAGAATGGAGAGGTTACATATAGTGAGCTATAACATCTAAGCATGTAGTATCTTTGTGTGACTGAGTGAAAAATGATTGATACTCCAAAGAGCTGAGCCAAGCGTCCGTGCCGAAATGATGACACCAGGGCGGTTTGTTGTTCTTCATATTCTTGCCATCCTTTGTTTATCCAACGAAGGAAGCACAAGAGGGCAAATAAGTGGCCACTCACGATGTGGCCATGGAGTGGAGTTTTACTGCGATCCCACGGACCCTACTGGACGACAGTTTCAGATATGTGTTCCAGGCGTTGCTGTACCCATCAGCATGGCTTGCTTTCACGGAACGGTATGTGTGAAAAGACACGACGTTATATCGTGTATTCTAAAATCCAAAGTTCCGTATCGTAGAACAACTGCAGATTATTCGACAGTAGAACATGCGCTGAAAACAACCACAAGTTTGACGTCTGCAAAATCTGATTCTTCTGGACTAGGTGAAAAAACTACTTTTACTATCCTGACAACTGACCCAACAACTAATGTACTACCACCAGAGTCAGATAAAGAGACTTGGTCAAGTTCTAGACGGACAGAAACAATTGCACCAGATTTGGCTAAGAAATACACGCTTTCAACTTTCATTTCCACGAAGTCGACTGAAAAAGCAAAAACCTTAAATACTAACTCCTTGGAAACCGTCAATAGCGAAAAAGAAGGAAATGGTGTTGAAGGAGAGAATATTAATGAAGAAACAGAAGAGACGAACGAGAAAAAAGTTAGAAAAACTGTTAGGAACAAGGTCTTAGGAAGTGATAAAGCATCAAGTTTGTCAACTATAAGGCCTACCGAAACAAATTCATCTGGACTAGGTCAGAAAACAGCTGAACTTACAACAAATGGACCAGAGTCAGGCAAAGAAACTTTGCCAACTTCTGGACGGACAGAAACCATTGCGCCGGATTTAACCAAAGAAACTACTCTCACTAAAAGAACAACTCCGACAGGAAAGCCGACAGATATGGGAGCAACAGTCAAGTCATCTTCAGAGAATATTGAAAGGACTCCAGAAACAATTACAAACAGTTATGTTAGTCCCCAAAGAAAAGTAAATCCATCTACTAAACTAACTGATGGTGCACCGGCAACGAAAAAGGAAATCACTATATCAGTAATGGATATCAAAACTACATTGCCTCCAGCAAGAAGATTTTCCAGTGCTTCAAGTACCACGAAACTGACAACTCCTACCACGCAACAGCCAGATGCAGGGATTGAGACAAGTACAAAATACGGCGAAAATGTACACCACCACACTCTGTCTTCCACGCATTCGACTCTCAGTACCACGGGGTCGACTGAAGTGACGGGAACCTCAAACGGAAAAGAGGGACTCGGGGTAGAGAGAGAAAAGGAAGAAACAGGCGAGAATAACAAGGAAAAAGTTGGCAGAACAGTTACAAACAAGGTCCTGAAAAGTGACAAAACATCATTGGGCAACGGTCCCTTTGGGAAGATTGGAGAAAGACATTCAAGTTTAGGTAGTTAAAGCTTTTCGTATATATTAAATATAATTATGACTAAAACTTATTTTTGATTATTTCCGAACATCACATCAAGGTCAAGGTTAATCAGCATAAATGTTTTGAATACTGTTTTCGTTCAATGGGTTTAGGTCAAGTGAACTATTTTCACTCCGCGTAATTTTTTTAAGAAGACATAAGAACTGGCTATTCCGAAATAATAAAATCCAACAAATGCTCTCTTTAAACAAATTGTAGTCAATGGTTTCAATTTTCTACAGAAAATTAACTTTTTTTTTTCAGTTCCGAAGACTACCGCAACACCACATAACATACCTACGACTACAAAATCCTTGGAACATGTCATTTATGGTAAGATATAGTTTAACATAAAATAAGAATTATTGAATTGATTTTTCATAGCGGTTTTTTTATAAAGTTCTGTATGCTTGTTTTAAATGCTTGTTTTAAATAATCTCAAAGTCACATCTTTTTCTAAATATCCTGCAAACCTACTTACCTTTTTTCAATTCAGGCTCTGAAAACGATTAAATCTCTCAAATCAAAGATCCTGATTATAATGGTTTTTATGTCAGAAAGACGTTGGCGATCTTAATATGTCATAATTCTTTTAGAACTATTGGTTTCGTTAGAAATGGCGAAAAAAAAAAAGAATTCAAGCGCAGGGACGGGAGCGCAACGATTCGTGAATAGGCAAAATTGGTTTGTTTCTCATAAATAACTAAAGGATGAGTGCGAATAAGGGGGTAAAAGTGCCCACTTTTGTACATGAAAAATAAATTGTGAATGAATGGAAAAAAATTGATGCCAAATTAAAGTTGGGGTCTTACACTTTTATAATCCACTAAAAAAATTATTTTTTTTGAATTTGAAATATGAAAAATTAATGCCAAAATGACCTTGTCAAATATTCATGAAAATGTGTGTTTTAGGGGGGGTCTGAATTGCAATGCTACGTATCTTTAGTTACAGTAAGGTGACAACTGTGAAATTTTGTAATTGGGTACAGAAGGTGCCCATGTAAAAAAGTAAGGCAACATGTGGCCAATCATTGTTTGTGATCAATATTTTGATTGCTTTATTTATATATGTAGTGCTAATTGAAAGAAGAATCTTACAGTGACTTGAGGATAAAAGATGTTCGTTTTTTNCCTCAAACCAAATAATATTTTTCCATGCAACAAATATATGCATAACCTTTATAATAGCAAATAATTTTTAAATTTTGAAGATGGGCACTTTGCCAATGGTTATTCGCACTCATCCTTTGGTATGAAAATCCAATATAGTGTAACTTTAATGACGTACACATCTTTTCAATGCATCCTGCTAAATTTGTATTTAATAACAATGCTATTTTCAGGGAAATTATCCAAGCCGAATGTGGCACCGTTGCAAACAGGCATTCCAGGAAATCTCCATCGAGAAAGGACTCCATTTTTTGTCTATTTTACGTTCGATGACGGCGTGAATAGCGAGAACTCTGCATTTTACAAGTCTCTGTTTTCACAAGACCGAACCAACAGCAACGGGTGTCCTATAGCGGGGGCGCTGTTTGTGTCCGATGCCCACACAAATTACCAACGGGTGAAATGGTTCTATGATCATGGTTGGGAAATAGCAGACCATTCAATAACACATCGTACCCCGACTACTTGGTGGAAGAATCTGGCGACATACAGGGATTTGAAGTTTGAAATAGACGGGATGCGAGATATACTGGCATCAAAGGCCGGCATCCCTGCTAAAGAGATCGCTGGGATGCGAACACCATTTTTAGCCACCAATCGCCTCCAAATTGATGTTCTTGAAAATGAACACTTCCAGTACGATTCTTCTGCAACCAAATCTGAGCCGTCTTGGCCGTACCGAGTACGGGGGCATGTCTGGGAAATTCCGCTGAACTTATACTATATGAATTCCCATTTGTGTGGAGCCATGTTGGATACATGTAGGCCAGCAAACTTTAAAGAATCTTTTGAGTATATATTTAGTAATTTTAAAAGACACTATGATTCACCAAATCGCGCGCCTTTTGGGATTAACATGCACGCGGCTTGGTTTTTGCATCCTGCTTGGAGATACAACTACAAGGCCTTGGATAGATTCATTCAAGAGATATTAAAGTTAGATGACGTGTGGATTGTGACTCCCTCTCAGCTTCTGAACTGGGTAAAAAATCCCGTCTCTGTAGATAATATGGAAGATCATCCAACGTTTACCTGTCATAGGAAACATCACCGACATGACAACAAAGAGGCATAAATGGGCAAGTGTTATTCGTTCAAAATAATGCTGCCGTTTTTAATTCTGAGTTGGATTAAACAATAAAGTACAAAATCTTTATATTGGGCTGTTTTTATTTGAATTATATGTTTTATTATCTTCTTTGCTTTCTTTCTGGTGTATTATAACCACAAAACGCTTCACTTAGATGTAGTCGTTTGGATTTTCCACCACTTTTTATTTCGAGCCTCTATCACATTCTGCAAATTATCATATAAAGGTAAATTTCATATTCGCATGCACTTTGTATGACACACATACATCACGTTGACACAGCATTTCAATCTGTCATCATTAATTAAGTGTGACCTCTTAGCAGGTATTGTCTGGACATTATGAGTATCCTAAGGACCGCCCTCCATTAAGTGGACACCTGCCAACCGTAGTCAATGGCGTTGCGGATGCAAAGATAATAATGAGTGCCAGTGTCCGCTTAATGTACTAGTGGGTAACCTTAATGAAGTAATGGTATTAAAAAAACTTTTCCCTGAAGTCGCTCTTGCAACAACGCTTCTATATGATTAAAATTGGCGAAATGCTGTTGTGGGGTTATTGTGCTAAGATCACTCTCGACAAAACTTCCGTCGCGTTTTATGTTAGGGACAGGGATAGAGCCGTTGTTTTGTTACGGGTTGGGGGGCAGGAAAAACATATCAGGGCCTAAACATGACCCTCTCGCATTCTACCAGCAGAGTATTATACATGTATGTGCTGCTGCTCACAGTGATAATCACAGTGATACTGAATTGCGCTAGAGAAGACCAAATTTTGTACCAGCTACGTTAAAAATGTCGTGGCCATGCAACGTCCTGTGTCGTGCTCGGTACTCCAAAAACGTTGGGGAAGGAGGTGCCTCAAAAAGGGACAAACAAGCTCCTCTGGCACTGCAAACCCAGTGGGTTTTTGAGTGATGCCAAAAATACATTGTTGAAATCATGTTTAGCAAACAGATTCTCTTAATTATTTATTTGTATATAGTATAGGACTTCGTGCCTTAGCGGTCATTTATTTATTTATTTTGATATCAGAAGAGGTTAAAAAATACGTACATTGTTATTGTTGTTTGGAGCATGCGTACTGTTATTTACTTGTAAAGAAAAGCCACATATGTTCATAGTAAACAGACCGAGTTCAAATGGATTTAGGATTAATTGTGGCGTTTTATGGCTGTCAGAAGAGAGAGATAGATTGACTTATTCTTGAGTGAGTATAACAACGGTTGAAGGATGCTGTATTTCAGCAGTGGTACACTGATTTGCATGACTATAATAAGTTAAGTATTTACAGACAGTACAATACTTCGTAAATGTAGAACGTTATATAACTGTGGTCATGTTTTGGAAGGTTTAGAACATCGAGAAAAGGAGGACACCAAAACATAGATGTTGAATTTCAGGCCTACCCAACTACCAGACTCGGCACCTAAGGATCCTGAATTNTCGCATTTCGGAGTATCAGCCAGAACACCGACAGGATGAGCCCTGGCATGCTCGGCTGTCACCTTGATTGGATAGTAAACGATTGTCGTAAAATCGCTATATGATTTTAAAACCGGGTGCATAAATTTGAAAGCCACCTAGATGAACCTTAGACTGCCACATTAATCTAATACAATGCAAAAAAGCCCTATCAAAAGTGGTTAAAACATTCAAACCGAATGTCGTAAAGTCCCCATATATCCCCATAGAGACAATAAAATAGAGTACTCTAAAGTAAGAGTACAGTTTAAGGTTGTTCAGCCGAGCGTGGATGAGCCCGCAGTCGTGCTACAAAATTTGTTCTGGGGTATGATACTCCGAAATGCGATCTGACACACACCTTGAAAACGGGTAGCGTGGTCCGATATACCGGTTAATTCAGGATCCTTAGGTGCCGAGTCTGGTAGTTGGGTAGGCCTGAATTTAGAAACTGTGATTATCGCTACCATGTTTATAACTATGCATACATGGAAAATAAATGTCATTTTTATTGGGTATCCACGATATAATGGCTTTAAAACCAAAAATGTCCTCGGAATTCAGTAATTGTGCAACTTAAATAAGTTTATAAAAACAACTATGCAACAAACGTATATGAGTGTTTCAGATTTAGGAATGCGCAGATTGAAAAATGAATGAAATAGCTCCTGTTACTGTAAATGTAATATAGGCTGGTGGCCTCAGTTTACGAAAAAATGATTATTATATATTTATTAAGAATTGATAGAATCAACTTTTTGAAAGTATCACATGTATTTGGACTTTAAGGCTATTAAAACAATTAGATTTTGATATAAAAAAGGCATCAGGGAAATTTCAAAGAAGTTTTTTGAGTGACAGAGCATTCCACAACCAGCGCTGAGAAAGGCGTCAACTCAGCGGGTAAAGTTTTCCGGAGAAATCGTCGTCTCTTTTCGCGTGGGCAAAAGGAAAATTCAACATCTCTTAAATCTGTCCTTCTTGGAAAAAAGCGCCCTGAGTTTCAGGGCACTGATGGCGACTCATTTCTACACAGAATACAATTGTGGCAAGATTAACAAAAGAACATAATTGAAAGTTGGTCTTAATATTCAAACCAAAACGCTATTGTCTAATGCAGTTCAGGGCAGCTCTCGACTGTTATACATGTAGCACCTAAAGTAAATATTGTTCTTAAGTCGCTATTTCCATTTTTTCTTTTCATAAAGCAGGCTTAATATCCGCAGTAAGTGAACTACTACTACTCCTGGTATATTGGACCAAATGACACAATAATTTACAGTATTGATTTAACTACCATCTTTCGTCTAATATAATACTCTTTTGAGAAACTGGTCTTTTTGTCGGGGATCGTTAACGGCAGCCGTGTCGAGAGCAACCATCGATGGTATTATCACTCAGACTCAGGGTGGCAAGAACCCACAGACACAGAAAGTTGTTTACTTTGACGCAGTGTAAGCGATAGTCGTCGTAAGTGCAAACAGAGAGAACAGTCGCTGCCTTTCATGGTTTATCAGTGTATTCGTTGCAGAAGCTGCCTTTCGTGTAATATCAGTGTCTTCTTTCGTTGCCAAAGGAGGAGAGTATCTGCACGCTCCGATTAGAATGATAAGGACATCGCCGGAGCGTGGAAGACTTTTAGAAAGAAGAGGGGGGGGGGGGGGGGGGAAGGGGAGTCTTACCATAACAAACGTTACTACGTATTGTTTAGGTCACGTGATATATACAAAAAAACACTTTTATTCAAATTATTGTGTTAACATAAAACAATTGTAAAACATACAAGAGTAATTCGTTATAAAAAATAAATTTGTATACAAGTACAAAAATATATATTTATCAATAATCAATACATCCGAGTTAACACAATAAATCGTCCCTGCAACGAGTGTAAAACTATGTCAAATGTGCTTTCGATTATGACTCAATACATGCTGACAGAATACTGAACTCTAGTAAAGGGGTAAAAGATCACTTTCAAAAAAAAAAAAAACAAAAAACCCTCAAAATCTCGAATTTTAAAAGGAGTAATCAGCAAGTAATAAAGAGTGTGATAAACTATTTTAAAAAAATGAAAAAACAAGAGAGAGAAATAGGAAACATTGTTTGCAAGGTCAGAATAAAAAGTCCCTTTTGTCCAACAGAGAACTTCTTGTTTTCTTAGCATAAAAACTTGATAAAAACGCAAAAAAAGCAACATAATTGCTCCAAAAATCATTGTCAAAATATCACTTGGAGGATAAGGTGTATAACGTATAAGGTGTAGTTTTCGGATTTGAAAACTTGATATGATTTCCCCTCCTACGTTTTGTTTAGGTCACTTCTCGGTCACTTCCCGATCAAGGGACCCTGTTCTATACGCGATATGTGACACTGTAACCCGCGCAAAATACACACTGTGACGTCCTTCACGGATGCCTTGTCCGGTTTCTGGCCTGTTAGGGACTCTGCCATAAGTTTTGCAATGCTGACAACAAGATGTGAATTGATCCTGTCGGAATCTTGAGTCCTCTTCAGTTCACATTGAAGAACGAGCAATTTGCTGTAAAGTACGTGCAGATCTTGATGAATTGTTGAACCGACGTCCTTTGCAGTTTTCTCTGCTTTGGCGATTGCTGCCGTGAACCATGCCAGAGAAACGTAATGTGATGCTGTGTCGTTTTGTTGACTGTCCTGCAATGATAAGAATTAGGATCCAGTTTTACTTCCTGTGATAGTGAATTTACCGTTGCAATACCACAACCTTTATCAAGACAATGTACACAAGTTCTAGCATCCTGAGAAAGTCAGTCACGTTGACTTTTATTTCAGTAATTTCTATGCTTTTATTAATAATCACATGGAAAATATTCCTCAAATAAACAATTGACTCAATAGAATATCCGTTAATAATAAAAATAAAAAATAGCCATTCAAATTTAAGCAATATGAATTGATTGACGGATGGATACGTAACAGCAAATGATGAGTAAGGCTTTTAAGTGTCACTAAATTTACCTTCGTGTCACCTGTCGTACAGTCATTTGAGCCTTGGCAAACACCGCCGTCGTTGATCTAAAGATAAAACCGGTATCATTAATATTGCTTTCTTGTGCTGATGTCGTAGTTTAGGATAAAGTAAAAATTCTTTTTAAAAAACAGGTTTACATTACTTTCCTTGATGGTTAATACAGCATGTCCATAGACATGTCTATAGACAACTCCATTAAAACTGATTTTGATTGCGTTTTCAATATTTTCACTAGTTTATGTCAAATGTCAATTTCATATTTCCGTCCTTTTAAAGGACTTTTTGTAAACAAGTTTTCTTTACAGAAAAATTAGGTTTACACTATCGAGAGCTCCCCGCGTGTTCTCGAATTTGTTCTTTTTTAATAGAATTGGTGCAATCTAAATCTTTAAACTTTAAAGATTAGCATATTTAAGTTATATATTATGCCTACAAATCAATCTTGATGTTTGTCTTGTTGTGACAAAGAGCTTCCCTCTTAAGCTTTACATGTAATACTTAGACCAATCTGATACCTTCTGCTTTGGGAGAAAAACTTATCTATGCAAGGATAGTTTGTCTTAAGTAGAAAAATTTTTAAGTCAAAACTGGTG